GTTCTGCTTCCAGTAGCGTTAGAGTTGCTGAGGCGAGGAAACCAGAGGCCGGGGGAGAGCTTCCGGGTCGGGGCGGAAGTGACGTCCCCACCCGCTCCTTCCCGCTGAAGCTCCGCCCCCAAACGGAACCCGGGTGTTCCTTGATGAAAAGAAAAGGCCCTAAAGGGTAACAGTGATGTTGCTGTTATCCTTGTCGACCGACATGACGGCTCTCCACACCCTGAGAGGAAATGGCACTCTCCCGAAACTTTAAAGGCGACCGCAGGCGCGCCTCACAGCAGCGCGCCAAAGAGACTTCCGGGATCGGTGGCTAGAGGATCCCATTCCTGCTTCCGACCGTTCGTCCGCCCCCGCATGGAGAGGAGGCCAAACGAACGCAGGCGGCGCTGCATCATCCTCCTTTCCAAACTCTTCACGGAAGGGCGCTTGCGCAGAAAGGTGACTCAGCGAGTTTCTCTTGCGTTCGCATCTGCGCATGCGCCCTAGCCCTCTGGGGCTTCTATGGGCGAAGGAATAAAGCGTCCCAAAAGTGGATTTTTAAGAAGTCTGACCCCCTTGCCTGTATTTTGAAATCATCACAGAGGAATCTGTTGTTATTTTGTGGAGGAATTATCACGAGTGGCTTAAAATTCAGTAATCAGCACATTCAAATTAAGTCTCTGCCCCAAAGAGCTTGCAATCTAAAATTCAGAGGGGGGCAAAATGGATGGCCTCGATAGCGGCCCTTGGCTGCTCGGTGAGGCCGTATTTCCAGTGAAGCTGCAAAGCCTGTCAGTTACACACACATCCACGGAGCCCACTGAACAAATCCATTTTTATTTATTTTATTTCTGCCGTGCCTGATCTGGATACAGGGGGAAAGGCCTGACTTCACATTTTTCCGAGAGATAATGCAGATCCCTACCCTGCAAACTCCAGATTTAGACTCTGCCCATAACGAATCCGCCTTCGGCACCCTGACACACCCCCCAAGTCCCCCTTTGGAATAAATATAAATAATTACCCAACCAATATTGGGTGACTCTTAGCAAGCCAGCAATTCTCAACAGGCTTCAAGTACTCCCGTAACCCGAATCTGGATTTACTAAAAAGGTCAATATAAATTAGGAATCATAAGACAAAGGAAAAAAGAAAAAAACCTAAGAACGAGGGGGCCAGTTAAGAAAGAGAGGTTACAAAAATTCAGTGCAGGGAAAAGACGAACTGCATCTCTAAAAAGCCCTCACTTGGACACTAAAGACCGAACAGGCTCACCCTGTCCGGCTTATATCCATTTTTTCCCAAATTCATCTTCTGCATTTCCAAGCTGTTTTTCACACATTTCCCAAGGCTGCTTTTCCCCCAGCCATTTTCTTCTACTGAAAATCTGAGAGGGGAGACCACAGGGACAGGCTACACAGACATGTGGCCGGCCACCCTCCTTGGCCCAGCTAAAATGTCAGGGAAAAAAGCAGGCTGGAAATGCAGCGAGCGTGTTTCATCGTGGCCTCAGGGCAAAGGGGTCAACCGGTCATCGTACAAAGCTAACGGCAAAGCAGTTTGGCAGCGCGGGCATCGAGGGACAGGAAAACATTTCCAAAGCGGCCTAGGTCACAGAACATTCCCGTTCCTGGAGTTTCTCCTTTTCTGCAGCGAATCGAGACGAGCTTTGGCAACAGGCCGCGCGACCCCGCAGTTCTCTTCCTCGAGGGGGAAGTGGCATTGCCCCTTTCGAACGACGCTGCAGCCCAGCGGGATCTCCTCGTGCGGGCTCGGCAGTCCCTCCTCAAGGGTCGCTCTGGGTGACGCTCCCGTTACCGCCAGGCGCGGTTGAGCAACTTCACCTGAGCCAACCGCTTGGTGATCATGGTGGCAAAGACCAGCCCAAACAGCACGCTGCTGATCAGGACGTAATCGTAGTCGTCTTTGAGGACGTCGAACTGTTTGGAGGGATAGACCCTGGTTTGGTAGATGTCTAGCCCATAGGCCACAACCTGAAGGGCAGAAGGAGAAAAGGGGGTTGCAAACGGCAGAGCTGGCAAGCGAATATCTGGAGGCAGCCGAGGACGAGGCAGCAGGATTTGTCCCGGACAAAAAAAGTCCATTAATCCAGCCACACCCCTCTTGAGATCCCGGGGGGGGGCGGTATTCTGAAGGCAAAGTTTTCTCTTCTTGTTACCCCTGGTGGTTTTACTCAGGGGAAGACCGTCCCTGAATGTGGAGGCTCCGTAAGGCTATTGCAGCCCCCAGTCGCTGGTAATAGATATTCCATTCCTTTGCTTAATCCCTTCTTTTGAAAACTCAGGACCCATCAGAAAACCAGGGCCAGGGTCTAAAGCAGGGTTTCTCAACCCTGGCCGTGTGAAGATGGTGGACTTCAGCTCCTAGAATTCCCCACCCATCTTCACACGGCCAAGGTCGAGAAACATGGGTCTAAAGACTCACCAGACAGGTTGACTCCAGGCCCGAGGGGGCTGTATAAATGCCCCTCATTCGGGAGATGGTTTGGTTGTAGTTGATGAACCTCTCGGCGTGGATTTGCACGTCCGGGGAATAAGGGATCAGGTTTTCTTCCCTGAAATGAGCAGGAAAATATTTCCGTTCCCCCTCAGCCTCCTACTATTTGCCTTTTAGGCGCTGTTCTAGCTTAGCTTCCCCTGGCTTTTTCTATTGCTCTTTCCCATTGGTAAATTTTCTTAGGCAACCATACAAAATTTTGGTCAGTGACTTCAGAAAGAAATGTCAATCCAAGCCTACCAAATGCCTCTTAGCTGGATTCAGCCCCCTCCAACCTTCTTCTGAGCTGTCAGCAGCATGACGGGGACCATTGGCAAGTTAAAGGCAGCCTGGAAGATCCGGCTGGAATCTGAGGAACCCAAGAGCTAATGCCACTCAGCGTCAGCTTCCAATATCTGCAAAGTCCTAAACGCTCTGCCATTCCCAAGCCTGGGGTGGCCGGATCACCCACTCCCCGGTTTCCTCACCTCGTTTGCTCTGTTGGGACTTCTGGCCGCCGCGGGTCCAGCAATGCCTTGGGGAGCGAAAGGATGGCCCCAGAAGGAAGACCGACTGTGCCCACAAGAGAAAAATGGAAAGAGGGTGAGGAGAAAGACCCTGCTTCTTCCTCATGCAAGGAGGAGACGGAGGGACGAGTCTGCCAATGAGAAGGGACAGCAGGTGGAAGTCACAAGCCTCAAGCACGGTACCCAGTCCGAATTTGGCATCACAGCGACTGCACCCCTGCCCAATCTAATCTTCCCAGGTGAAGGGTCTGCATCACG